ACATGAGTATAAATCGCTTGCTAACTCTATGGATCGCTAGCTGCAAAAAAAACTCTATGGATCGCTACTATACATAATCTTTTTTATAATATGATGCATTTCATCTAATTCACTTATGTTTCATTTGATATTTCATTTGAACAAAATATATGATCGTCTAGGGCCTCATAATTGCTCTAGACGGCCCTGAGTTCAGCTACGCCCACGGCCCACCGGGTTTTTACTTTTTTACAAGTATTAGTTTTTTATGATTGTTTTTCTCTTTTAAACGATTTTTTATGATTGTTTTTTATGTAAATCGTATCTCAATCAACATAATTAAAAATCATACAATATTTGTCATTTAAATTGAATATGTGTTTGACTCCCGAATTTCGATCAAAATATATGTTTTACAGAGGTTAGTTGCAAAGTGGGTGAGTATGTATTCAGAGATACTTTGTCTGACTTAGAATACCTTATCTGATAAAGTATTTTTTATATCTGACTAGAGACATTATTGAGGTGATTGGAAATAATGAGGTTAGTTGCGGAGTGAGTATGTATTCAGAGATATTTTATCTGACTTGTAATACTTTTATTTGATAAAGTATTTTTTTATCCGATTAGAGACATTATTGAGGTGTCCACTATTATTTTAACTGTAAAACTATTACTAAATATTGATCTGTCCACTATTATTTATAACTACTTAAATAGTAATATGAATTTATATATTTACCAATATTATTACCAATATTTTTACAATCACATCATTTATATTATTGGCAAGAACAAGAATAAATAACAATGCAATTTAAATTTTATTATTCATTTACTATTTATTCGGTAAGTTTTTATTATTCATTTACCATTTTACCCTCTCGTCACTTCATTGAATTGTGTATGTTACCACCCCCATTTCACTATAAAGTACCCCTTTTATTATAGTCATTTTAGTGCTACACTTTTTAATCGTCCAAGAGCATTTTTGAAAGACTAACTTTATTTCATATTCTACCTATAAACTCGTGAAACCAAACTATGAATTTCATTTTGGGACTGAGGAACTACTCAAAAAATAAAATAACTACTCCGTACTACGGAGTAGCAATTAATAATTTCTAAGACCTTTAACTTAAATATACTACGGAGTAATATTTATACGCTTTTCTTAGAAATATTAAACTAATAAAATAAGGATATACACTTGTTAATGAACTATAAAAAAACATTATTAATAGTTTAATACTAATATACGTAGTAATAAGGAGTATTAACAACAACTCTTTTATAGGTACCCCATTTTGTATCCCAATTTGTACCCCAGTCTATTTGTGTGGCTCACAAAAGTCCAATTTAATAAATGAATTGCTCCACTTAAATGAGCTGCTTTTGTGAGCCACAAAAATAGGGTGGGTACAAGTTGAGATACCTTTATCATTTTTGTATTAACAACTGGGATGGGCAGGTCACACTTGGGAATGAATGTGTCAGATCCGAAAATAAAAAAATTTGGACACCCATTAGCTACTCCTCATTTTCGGAGTACTCTACTCCGTTTTATCCTTGAGTTTTGCTCTTTGTAGTTTGTACTAATCTGTGTACAAAGAGCAAAACTCATCCTTTTTCTGTCAAAAAAATGGAATCTGCACTATATCGAAACACCTACTCAAAAATTACCCTGTTTCGTCATTCCCTCACTCAGTAATGTGGTGTATTTTTTGGACTTTTAGTATGAATATTACTAAATTAAAGCTAATTTTCAAAAATGTGACCGGTTTTTCAAAATGACAAAAATGCGACTAAGAGGGTCACACATATGGAAAAACATGATGTCACTGTCGTTGTTTATGTCACTGTTAAATATTTATTTCTTTTATATGTCACTATCACATTTTTATGTCGCCACCACCCATTTCACCTCTGCCACCGCTCTGTCACTGTCGTCATCGTCCATGTCACTGACGTCGTGAAACATTTCACTATGATTGCTGGAAAATTTTCCGGCAACTATTTCGGTCGAAACTATGTACCACCTCCAGCGACACCACCAGCCACCGCCCCCGGCCACCGAGATATCATGACTCCGGTCAGTCACAATGACTTCATCACCACCGGTCACCACCAACAGCCCAAAGCTGCAGCCGACTCATTTTGGACCGCCGCTGCTCCGCCCCTGCACCCTCCCAGCAGCCAGCCTACCCAACCTTTTGCCTTGCTACTGCACATCCCCTCCCCTGCAACTCCCTCACCCGCAGCCTTGACTTCTGACCATCGAATTGCAACTGTTGTCATTGCCCAAGCCACAACCACTTCTGCGCTACCCCTTCCCATTCTCCTGCCACCCTTTCTCTTCATCTGCCCCGCCCTCCCCTAGTCAAAACCTAATTTTGCGCCGCCACGGTTTAGATCTGGAAAGCTAGGCATAAGTGTAGGCGGCAGTGACTCCATTTTGTAATATACGACCTGATACCAAGTCTCAATGGATGATGACGACGCCAATTCGACTCCCATCCGCCTCCCAACTCACCGGACAGAAAGGGAAGAAGAAGAAAATCGACGGGGAAAGGTGTGACCATGGTGGGCAACGATGAGTTCGACGGTGGCGATGTGGTCTGCGGTGGCGATGCGGTCTGCGGTGATAGATGAGGTCTGCTCTCTGCGGCACGATGGATCCGGAGCCTCTACCTTACTTTAGAGTAAGGTAGAGTGCCTTCCTTCTTCCCGGTCGTTCGATCAACAATTCAGCGATCGGAGATCTTGGGCTCCACTTTTTCGCCGATCTCGAGGCCGTGTTGGCCGCCCCCTCCCGTCCGATGTGCAAGGCACCCTCCTAGTCGGGTAGAGGATCCCAATCCGCGGCACTATGCATTCTAGGGAGTGAGTTGAGGACTCTGCTTCGGCAATTGATCGTTTTAAAGGAAGTCACTCTTTTGTCGAGTAAAGGGTCAGTTTGGTTCTCGAAGTTGCATAAAAGGGGTCAAATAAGTTGTTACATGGGAGGTTCTATCCGGCCATCGCCATTTGGGGAGGTTCCCGGTGGAATTTTTTGATGATTTTTTTTAGCATCTTATTCATTAAGTCTAGTTCACTCATACCAAATTTCAGAAATTCAATCGGGAAGACATTCAAATGAAAATGGTGATATTTTTGTCTAATCAAACTCCCTAAGTAATATTTTGACATTAAATCTTTTTTTTATCGTCAAATAAGTAATGTTGTGTATTAAAAAAAAGAAATAATTTCAATATATAGTCAAAATAGAAGTAGTGGACCAATATATAACCTAGTACTACATAACTTTTGTGCCTATAATTATATTTACAAATACCATCATAATAATTATAAAATTTATCTATTCTAATTTTTAATCACATTTTTTCATAAATTTTTTGTTAATAATATTTTCACATGAAAACTCAGTTCAAATTCATTTCAAATAGTGAGTAGTATCCTCAATGTAAAAGCTCAAGTATTTTAAAATTGCAATGAGTTATAGGTCTTTAATTTAGAATTGTGATGTTTGCATTAATTATGTGAAACTCAATCTAAGAATTATGTTCCTTCTATTAAAGTCGAAGTATCTTCAATTTTTGGTGGATGTTTATCAAATAAAATAGAAGAAATGGACAAAATTATATAGTAGTAATTTTTAGTGATTACAATTATATTCAAAAGCAACACATTATAAAACTTGCCCATAATAACTTTCAATCACATTTTTTTCCATTAATTTTTATTCAACATATTATAAAACTTACCTATAAAATTTACCTATAATATTCCATATTATAGGTCTAGCTTCAACCTATTATTCATAAACAATAATATTCAACTTGTTGAAAGAAAGACATAATATGCATTACAAGTTTACAAATGAGTTATACTTACACCGTTTATACTTTATAATTTTCATATTATAATTAGTCAAAATTTCACATTTACAATTGGGATATGATCATGTCCAACGTTACATATCGTGCCACATAATCTATCATTGTGTTAAAACATGAAGTGTAATAATAATGATAATGATGATGGTGGTGGTGGTGGTCTCACAAATATAACGTGCGAGCTCCAAAGTGATAATAATTTGTTTTCGATAATGAACACATTTAGAACAATAATTAGCAACTTTCATGTTAAGAATGTTAACTTCAATTCGTTCTTCTCATCCATTTTTCTTAAACAAGTTCACAACCTCATTCACACTACTTTCTTAATCAAGTGAGCAATAAAAATAAATTGATAATCCTCTGATTATGAACAAATATAATTCATATTCCCCAAAAGTATCACCAATGTCACTATGCAAATAATGGTTTGTGTCAACAACATGTCTAACCATAAACAATCATTTCATCATAATTCGATAATCGTTTAAATGTCTTATAACAATTTTCATGTGCTCTTTTAAGGGATTATTAGCTCATCTACTTAATAGTTATACGGATTGTTTCTTATCCGGATAGGGGGACTATTTTTTCCTAAGTACTAATACTAAAGTTCGGGGTTGAAAGCGGGGCACTTTCTCCCTAACCCCCAGTACTCTAGGTTCTAATAGAATATATTTTAGGAATATTTGTTTCCCAAAATATATTCTATTAGGTTCTTCACTGCCCGCAGTTCACCTGAGTGTTTCAGAAATTTCATCACATGCATGCAGCTGCCAAAATAAGAACTAAAGTCTATATATGGTTGTTGACTTGTTGTCTGCAAATCCTTTGTTACAGTGAAGCATCTCTTGATTTATTTGATTAGATAATTTGGGAGAGGCTGAAACTTTGTTATAAAAATAAAGCAGGTCGTCATCAATGATGTCACCGATCCCTTTCTTTGGGGAGAAGTATGAAGAGAGAAATCAAATTAAAGAATGATCGAGAATAATAATGTCCTCTTAAATTCTTTCTTTCTGCACTACATAAATAACAACTATATTCAATTAAGTTCTTAAAATTGCATTTCGGCCTGCACATTTCATACTTTCGTAGACAAAAATATGCCATACAGTTATATTTGTGACCAATGCTTTTGGCAAGCGGACATGCCGACCACTATATCTGTAGGGGTCAAATAAGGTGTCTCTATAACACCCACAAAGTCACAACCTCAAGACAATCAACTAAATGAGCAACCCAAACTGACACACAACCAATTACCACACAAAACCAGCACAATTGCAGAATATAAAGCACAACAAAGAGCGGAAATAAAGCACACGGAGCACACAAGATTTTTTACGTGGAAAACCCTTCAATGTGAAGGATAAAAAACCACGGGACCTCTTGAGGAGTCCACCCTTAATTCTCTTATTGATAAATGAGGGTAAAAGAACCCCAAATCAGTCTACAAAGGATTCACAGCCCACCAACAATCACCAATAACAATAAGAGATTGAAATGGCACAATAAGATGTAGAAATCACCCAAAAACTGCAGGTCTGTTCGTGCAGTGATTCTGACCAAACCAGAGCTCAACTGAACAATCCGACCGTTCAAAATGAAGCCCTTGAAGTCACGAACAAGCTGTCCAAATTTCAGCAAAATCCGACCACGGGAAGACCTCCGATCGACGAGCTGAATGAAGCAACGTACTGCAGGTCGAAAAACTGGAATATGTCCCCAAAACCTTCTGTTTTGTGTGTGTGCGTTTTCCAGACTTCTCAGCCTTCCCAACCTGATATTTTTCAGCAAGTTGGACTCTAAAAACATGTTTTAGAAGCCCAAAACTCAATATCAAATGGACCCAAAATATAGGACATAAAAATCCTTCAAACAAGGCCCAAAACATAAACTACAAAAACAATATAAGATATTGCAAATATGGGCTGGACCCATAACAATCTCCCCCTCCAGCCCAACACGGGGAAGACGAACACTCTTCAATCACCACTTGAAGCTCATCCCTGCAAGCTTGCCACAAATATCAAGCTTGCTTCCTGGAACCACTTTAGTTAGCATGTCCGCACCGTTTTTGTTTGTATGAACTTTCTTCAGTTTCATCAACTTTTCTTCAATCACATTCCGCAACCAATGATACCGAACATCAATATGTTTGGTTCGAGCATGATACATGGAATTCTTGCTCAAATCTAAAGCACTCTGACTATCACAGAATATTACATACTCACCTTGCTCCAAACCCAATTCTTGAAGGAACCTCTTCAACCAAAGCATTTCCTTACTTGCTTCCACAGCTGCTATATATTCAGCCTCAGTAGTCGACAAAGCCACACATTTTTGTAATTTAGATTGCCATGAAATGGCTCCCCCTGAAAGTGTGAACACATAACCTGAGGTAGATTTTCTACTGTCAAGATCACCAGCCATGTCTGCATCTGTATACCCCTCAAGAACTAGTTTGCCACCTCCATAACACAAACAAAGTTTGGAAGTGCCACGCAAGTATCTGAAGATCCACTTCACTGCATCCCAATGTACCTTACCCGGATTAGATAAGTATCTGCTCACCAAACCAACAGAATGTGCAATATCGGGTCTTGTACACACCATAGCATACATCAAAGAACCAACAGCAGAAGAATAAGGAATATTGGACATACTTGCTTTCTCCTTCTCTGTTGTAGGACAAGCTCTCTTACTAAGGTTAAAATGTGATGCGAGTGGTGTACTAACCGGCTTGGCTTGCTTCATATTGAACCTTTGAAGCACACGTTCAATATACTTTTCTTGAGAAAGCCACAACTTTCTAACCTTCCGGTCACGAGCAATCTCCATGCCTAAGATTTGCTTTGCAGGACCCAAATCTTTCATATCAAATGACTTGGACAAATCTTTCTTCAAGTTGTCAATCATCACTGAATCTTGCCCAACTATCAGCATATCATCTACATACAAAAGAAGGATAATGAAGTTGCCACCAGGAAACTTTCTGAAATACACACAAGGATCTGCAAAAGTCCGTTTATAACCATTGCTTGTCATAAACGAATCAAATTTCCGATACCACTGCCTTGGTGCCTGTTTAAGCCCGTAAAGACTCTTCTTCAACTTGCAAACAAGTTTCTCTTTCCCCTTTTCTTCAAATCCTTCGGGTTGCTCCATGTAGATCTCTTCATGCAAGTCACCATGTAGAAAAGCAGTTTTTACATCAAGCTGCTCCAACTCAAGATCAAGACTTGCGGCTACTGCTAAAACAGTTCTAATAGAAGTCATCTTGACAACAGGAGAGAAGATTTCATCAAAATCAATGCCCTTTTTCTGGTTGCATCCTTTGACCACCAATCGAGCTTTCCGCTTCACTATCTTCTCACCATCTTTCTTGTTCTTGAAAACCCATCTGTTTTTCAAGACTTTCTTGCCTCTGGGAAGATTCACTAACTCATAAGTATTGTTTTTCTTCAAGGAATCCATCTCCTCTTTCATAGCCTCGAGCCAAAGATCTTTTTCTTCACTAGTCAGCACTTCTTGAAAACTCTCAGGCTCCCCCTCGTCAGTAACTAAGATGTAGTCTGTGCTTGGATATTTTGTAGAAGGTTTACGATCTCTCGTTGACCTCCTAATCAGAACATCATCATCTGGCGGGGTATTTTGCTCCCCTTGCTCATGAACCTCTTCATTATTTGCTTGAGCATCATTAGGAGCATCATCAAACGGTGGTACATCACCATCATCATCATCATCGGGTTGCATATCCTCAACACCATCATGTGTTGTATCAAGATCATCATATGATGGCTGTTCAACAGAAACAGAAGTAGGAACAGAAGAAACATCAGTAGTATCAATAAATGAATCAGAGTAAGTATGATACCTGACACCCAAAAGTTCTGCTCCCTTCTCGTGCTCGAAGAACACGACATCTCTACTTCTCACTACCTTCTGCTTCTCAGGATCATAGAGCCTAAACCCGTACTCTTCATCACCATAGCCAACAAACACACATGGAGTAGTCTTGGAATCAAGCTTCAACCTTTGATCTTTCGGCACATGCATATAAGCCTTACATCCAAAGACTCTAAGATGTGAATATGTGGGATCACATCCCTTCCAAGCTCTCTCTGGAATGTCAAGACCCAAAGGAATAGATGGAGAACGGTTAATCAAGTAAACAGCAGTGTTCACTGCCTCTGCCCAAAATGACTTAGGTAGATCAGACATCTTCAACATACACCTCACTTTCTCCACAATGGTTCTGTTCATCCTCTCTGCAACACCATTATGTTGTGGAGTGCCAGGAACTGTCTTCACATGTCGAATGCCATGCTGTGAACAATAATTCTTGAACTCATGTGAAGTATACTCACCACCATTGTCAGAACGAAGGCTCTTTAGTTTTCTTTCCGTCTCCCTTTCCACCATAGCATGAAATTTCTGAAATGTCTCAAACACTTGGCTTTTGGTCTTCAACATGTAAACCCAAGTTTTTCTGGTAGCATCATCAATAAAAGTGACAAAGTATTTGCTGCCACCATTAGACTCTACCTCAATGGGACCACAAACATCGGAGTGTACAAGCTCTAGCTTAGCTTGCCTCTTAGTAGACTTCCTGGCAAAAGAAGCTCTATGCTGCTTACCTGCCAAACAATGATCACAAGGGTCAAGAGCAACTGCAGTATCAATGGGAATAAGAGATTTACCTGCAAGACATTTCAACCCTTTATCACTCATGTGTCCCAATCTTCGGTGCCATAAGTTAGGAGAATTCTTCTCTTCTACAGCATTGAGTTCACCAGAACATACAGTCAAATATGTCTTGTACAAAGAGCAACACAACTCGCCTCGTGCAACTGTCATAGAACCCTTAGACAATTTCCACTTGCTATCTCCAAAAGTGTGTTTGAAACCTTCTTGATCCAGAACATTAGCAGATAGCAAATTAAGGCGTAGATCAGGAATATGTCGCACACCTTTCAATGTAAGTATGCATCCGACACTAGTCTTCACACGAATATCACCTAATCCAACAATACTTGCTGAACTCTGGTTACCCATCTTAACACTACCAAAATCACCAGCTTGGTAGGTCATGAAGTAGTCTCTTCTGGGAACACAATGGTATGAAGCACCAGTATCTACAAGCCACTCAGAGTCTGAACTATCAACATGATGACACTCACTAGCTGCACAAATCAAAGTAACATCATCATCACTCTTAGAAGCTATTGCTGTAGTGTTTTTGTCATCACCCTCTTTCTGCGAGTCATTCTTCTTCCTTTGTTCCCTTTTCATACGGAAGCAATATTTCTTGATATGACCAGGCTTCTTGCAATAATGGCATGTATTGGCATTCTTCCCATCACTGGATTTAGACCTGCTTCTTGAGTTATTGTGACCTTTGGGACCCCTACTCTTGCTTCTTCCTCTGTTCTCAACAACAAGAGCATGTGTATTATCAACTCCCATCTCCTTTCTTCTGATTTCTTCATTAAACATGCTTTCTTTGATGACATCCAAAGATAGCACACCATCCGGAGCAGAGTTACTAATAGTCACAACCAAGGTTTCCCAACTGTCTGGCAAAGAGCTCAAGAGAAATAAAGCCTGCAACTCATCATCAAGACAAATTTTCATAGTAGTCAACTTGTTAATAATATCCTGAAAATCACTAAGATGCTCAGAAACAGACTTCCCACTTTTCAGTTTCAAATTAACAAGTTTCTTGATCAAAGAGGCTTTATTATGAGCAGTCTTCCGTTCATAAAGACCTTCCAACTTCTTCCACAATTCATAAGGGTCAGACTCTTGTGACACATGATTGAAAATGCTTATATCAACCCATTGCCTAATAGTCCCTAAAGCCTTTCTTTTCAACTTTAGCCATTCCCTATCTTCCATTTTCTCTGGTTTGGATGGTTTAGAAACAGTACCATCAGTATTGGTGACAGATTCTATTGGGTCATACAAGTCCTTGCAATATAACATATCTTCCATCATAGGTCTCCAAATAGAATAATTAGTTGATGTCAATTTTACCATCGAGTTACTACTACCCGACTCCATAATGTGACAGATTAAACCTGGCTCTGATACCAAGTTGTAGGGGTCAAATAAGGTGTCTCTATAACACCCACAAAGTCACAACCTCAAGACAATCAACTAAATGAGCAACCCAAACTGACACACAACCAATTACCACACAAAACCAGCACAATTGCAGAATATAAAGCACAACAAAGAGCGGAAATAAAGCACACGGAGCACACAAGATTTTTTACGTGGAAAACCCTTCAATGTGAAGGATAAAAAACCACGGGACCTCTTGAGGAGTCCACCCTTAATTCTCTTATTGATAAATGAGGGTAAAAGAACCCCAAATCAGTCTACAAAGGATTCACAGCCCACCAACAATCACCAATAACAATAAGAGATTGAAATGGCACAATAAGATGTAGAAATCACCCAAAAACTGCAGGTCTGTTCGTGCAGTGATTCTGACCAAACCAGAGCTCAACTGAACAATCCGACCGTTCAAAATGAAGCCCTTGAAGTCACGAACAAGCTGTCCAAATTTCAGCAAAATCCGACCACGGGAAGACCTCCGATCGACGAGCTGAATGAAGCAACGTACTGCAGGTCGAAAAACTGGAATATGTCCCCAAAACCTTCTGTTTTGTGTGTGTGCGTTTTCCAGACTTCTCAGCCTTCCCAACCTGATATTTTTCAGCAAGTTGGACTCTAAAAACATGTTTTAGAAGCCCAAAACTCAATATCAAATGGACCCAAAATATAGGACATAAAAATCCTTCAAACAAGGCCCAAAACATAAACTACAAAAACAATATAAGATATTGCAAATATGGGCTGGACCCATAACAATATCCACCTGCCCACGGTGCTCAGCCATCTTGTCGTTGCTGTTGTCTACAGATAATACAGCATTAAGGTGATCTTCTATGTTTATTCCGAGCATTGTATGGAAATTTTTAACACGAAAGGTTCAAATATACCCCGAAGTATATGTGGAGATACACATGTACTCTTGAACGTTTAAAATGTGCAAAATTATCGCTTATATTCGTATAGGAGAGCAAATGTGATTTACCCTTATTGAATTTATATAAATAAAATAAATTTTAAAAAACACTGCAAATAAATTTAAAATTCAAAATTAAAAAAAAAATTACTTGTGTCCAATTCCCCCTTTTATTATTTTTATCACAATTTCACATTGTTAGTATAAAAAATTGTTTCAAAATTTTACCATATATTAATGATTCTTTCGGAAAAGTGTTAACATATGTGTTGAAATATTAAAAAAAATGTATTCTTGCACTATAAATTACTCCCTCCGTCTAAAAAAGATTGGTCAATTTGACTTTTCTTGATCAATGATGGTCAAGTTTGACCAAGGATATCTTTTAACACAAAATTATCTAAAATATGAAAAATATATGAGCTTATTCTTTATTAAAAAGTTGTATTATCTTTCATTATTTGCTTGTAATTTGTATTTGTTATTTGAGTTCACCTAAAAAGGAATTTATGTTGTTGCTGTACGTTGTTATTTGTTCATAGTAAATTACTACGTAGTAATATATTACCGGTCAGTTTATTACTACTTACGTTTTACTTATGGTGCAATACTAGTATAAGAATATTACTTTGGAGTTAAATTACCTGTAATTGGATGTGTACCTTGGAGCTATTTAACCTTTTTGTTTGGCCGTTGGTGCTTATTTAATTTTAAACCTTTATATTTTTAATATCTTTAAATTTAATGTTTAATTACACTTGGATATTTTTGTGTTATTTGAACATTGAGATAGCATGTACGTAGTATATATAATGTAATGTTCATAATTTTGACAATTATTTTCGTGATTTGAAATTTGAATTTTTTATGTAACTGAAGGTAAAATGTGTTTTCATAAGGAACCAAAAAAAAGGTAAGAACTAAACCGAACTGAACCGAATTTAATTAGAATCGAACCGAATTTAACACATATTACCTCCGTCCCAAAAAGGTTTGTGATGTTGACTTTTCATAATCAATGATAACAAACTTCAGACATTGATTTAAATTATTATATTCCTATAAAATTTTTAAATTTTATACATTCATGAAAATATTTTAAATATAATTTTCATTTTCAAAATAATTTTGTATAAAACAATATAATGGGTCAAAGTTTATTGTCATTGACCAAGAAATTCAATTTTCCGAACTTTTTCATTGAATATTAACCACAATGGAACCGATCTCAGGCGGTCAGGCCTACCGCTTTACCAGATGCAGTTATTGACAAAATCCCGACGGTGACGGTCACGGCATCTCACCTGAAAGACAATGATTCCAACGCCTGTTCTGTTTGCAAGGAAGAGTTCGAGGTCGGGGACGACGCCAGGGAGTTGCCTTGCAACCACCTATACCACTCCGATTGCATTCTCCCCTGGTTGAGGATTAAAAATTCCTGCCCCCTCTGCCGCCGTGAGCTTCCCCTTCCTCCGCCGGGAACACAGGAGGAAGTGGCCTCACCACAAGTAGTGGATGAACCATCTGGAGAAGATGCTGAATTAGAACCGCAATCTGAGATCAGTAGCCGCCGCACGCTACCACCAGAAGAAGCTGAATTAGAAGCAGTGGAAGAGCAATTTGGAAGTAGAAGCCGCCGTGTGCAGCCGCCGCTCTCGGCGGCAATCGAAGAAGAGGAATCTCAAAGGCAGGAGAAGAGTCGTGCTCGGACGAGGACGGCCGCTGTACCTAATTTATGCTCGTGCCTCGCCGCGGCTTTCTCTATAATTCTCCTCAAACTATACAATCATTTCCATTCTGATTCAGGTTGACTTTGTAGTATTAGCCGATTGTGCGAAGGATTATACGAAGTAATGCGGTTTATAAGACAATGCCGCCATTTCCATTCTGATTCAGTTTTACAATAGATTGTTGCTTTTCACAGCGAAGTAAAAAACTACTATTGTACTACTATTAACAATTGGCTTGGTTTGGTTATTAATGCAACAATTAGTTACACAAGAGGGGTGAATTGTGTACGTGGAACTGTGACAGTTTTTCGCCAAGTTCTAATGTGGGTATAGGTGAAACGAAATAAATAAATGCACAAAGATTTAACGAGGAAAAATCTATTGGCTCAAAAGGATTAAAAAGTCTCGACCTCCCTCGGAGGAATTTTAACAACTGTACTAAAAAGCCTTTGAATGATTACAAGGAAAACTCTCATAGTCTATCCATGAGTCACCCCAACTCTATCATCTCTAGAAATAGTTATGTTTCTCAAAACACACTAACCAACCCGAGGATGCTACACTTAGCCAATCCTCAAAACCCGATTACAATATGAAGGGAAAGTAGAAAATATATCTAGAACACTATATGAGCAGTTTCAGGTGTCTTGAACTCCGGTAGTTCTGTGTAAATATATCTCTCAATAGTTGTCTTGGTCAAGCACACCTCTTTTCTCTTGATCTTCAATATATATAGCTTTTACTTGGTACTAGACGTTGAGATTTTTCTTATGTGGTCACACTCCAACCCTTGAGACTTTCCTTGATACAATTAAAAAACGTTTCCTTTTATTCACCACTCTTCTAGCTCATGATTGTGATGATCCTCGGTCAATCACACACACACACACATATAGAGAGAGAGAGTTGGGATCAAATACAAACTTAACTTAATTTACAAAATACAAAATGATCCTAGCCCTCCATCTAAGTATTACTTCTGTGCGGCTGTTTTAATTTTAAGCTTAAGACCGTAGCTGACTTAAGGGTGTATTGGCCATTTCATTCACCTCTAACCATGGAAAGAGAATCACGTACAATTTAATGGCGCTCTTTCCGTTAATAGCTTTGTTTCCATACCTGCGAGACTGCGATCAAGAGTTTGTCATGCGAGACTATCCCTTCTTTTTCGTTTTTCTTCTCTCCATTCTTGTTACGTTCAAAGGTAGGTTAATCACGTTGTCGTCAAAGCCATGGAATACAAATCAGGTATGCCTATCAACTTTGTTTGAATACAAAGCAATTCGTATATTCGTTTTAATACAAAAAATCTCCCTAAAACATCGTTTGAATACAAAAAAAAATGTATATTCGTTTTAACTCTGTTTCAATACAAAACAATTTGCAGAGTTGCAAATTTTTGTGTATGATTGCGCGGTCCTGTTTTTAAATTTTGATTAAAGCGTACAATTAACAGTTGCTATTGTCACCTTCTTCACCTGCATAATTCTTGTTTTCTGTTTAAGTTCTTCGTTTTTTTGTTCTTCGTTTACTTCGTTTAATTTTAGTTCTTATTTTTCTATCGGGCAAAGTTCATACGTTTCAATGGTTTTATGTAGACATATTTTATTTATCAACGAAGCAATCAGTAATTGAGTCCTTTTGTGGTTTTGCTGCGCCTTCTGTCATCACAGTTCATCCTCCAGAACAACCCAGGAATAAAGGTTCATGACCTAGGATCAAGTCTTCCAAAGAGGTTTCTATTCAAGAATCAAAACGTTCCAAAAGACTTTGTCATTCGTGCATTGAGATGAGCCATCGTGATAGCTGGAATTGTCCCTTGAATAAAAAGGATTGTTTAAGATCATGTCTTTTAGTCATTAATATATTTTCTTTGTTTTTACCGCAGTGGCTATACATTGTTAACCAATTTTGTTAATGAATATTGTTTTCTTTTTTATATTATGCTTCTCATTCATATCTTTACTGCATTGTACACATCATTTATATGCATATTTGAATACATTGATGTGCACCCTGTAGTTGTACATTAGCCACGACTAATTGTATTACGTTTAATTTCTTTCTCCATACTTTGGAGCATTCTCATACTTTTTTATCATTAAATACACATACAATTATTTGTGTAACACTAAACGTACACATTCAGACATCTCACCATTTATTTACTAAAAAAATTCATGACATTTATTGACTATGTAATGTTAACTTAATTGGCACACGTGCATATTTTGAAGTGCACCTTAGATTTACAACGGGTGCATTAGTAATTATTTAAATTATAGATCTGCAGACATACATGTTTTGAAGTTCAAGTCTTTAATGCATTGTACACATACATTTATTGACTATGTAATGTCTTAAGAAATAATTACATAAATATGACTAAAATAAAAATGGTTTACAAAAATATGACTAGTTACTAGAGTAGTAATGAAATCATAGTAATTCATGTTCAAGTTTTGAACTTAAGTTACCACAACACTACGTTGTAGTAATGAATAGTCATATTTATGTAAATACGTTTTATTTTAGTAATATTCTTTTAAAAACCCCATATTTTAAATGCATATGTAAGTATACTTGTACATGAGCCACCACTAATTGGTATTAATCACAACACAACCACATACTATCATTCCTTATTCACTTCAATGCATATTCAATTCACTCACCTAGTACAATTCTGTTCGTACTATTATTCCTTTTTCATTACATAATATCATTTCTTATTTCTCACATGCACCACACTGTTACAATAAATTGCACTCTAGCTAGTACTCTTATTCTGCATATTCACTCACTTAGATATAAAAAAACACAAAATCAGTATCCCTGTTTATTCATGTTTCACTTAAACATAGTGCACTTAAATAAAACCTAATACTTTTTTGCACATATACCTAACCACTTTGCATACAAACTCCATCACCAAAAAATGAAGATTCATATGCATATTAACTCAATGACAAACCAATTAACATTCATCACATCCACAAAACTCCATCACATACACCACGCCTTCTCTTGAACTGCACTCTACCTTTCTTAGTCTGCAATTTAACTCCCATACACACTGACCATTGAATTGCACCTTTACCTAGACTATTTTGCACATTAATTCCAACACACAAAACCCACACTCAACTGCATAAATCTGATAATAGGAACACCAATTACGAACACAAAAACCCACCTTCATAACCAAAATGCACTTCATTGATCCTTAAGATGCACACTTCTTCATTCAAGTGGCAGTCCATATTAGCAAAGAAATTAATCATTACAAAAAAAAAACAACGCTGAAAAAACTTCAATCAATCTGACGTCCACCCAAAATGCATCCACACAACTCACTTAGTGCATATCAAATCAAAAATCATCCATGCAAACAGATTAATCTAAACAATACAAAAAATTTGAATTATTTATCAAAAACTATTGCACCGAACTTCTCCCAGTACTGCATATCAATTACCATCACTTTGTAATCAGTCTTGATTTGCTAATTTAATCAAAATCGCATATATATGCTCCCCATCTTCAAAATTTCAATGCAAAAATACTGTGGAACTCCAATTCTTGGTCCAAAATTATTCAATTCAACCATACATAATTTGCACACCAATAGGCAATCATTCCTTGGACTCGTACTGAAGCTATTATCCAAAGTTGTACTACAACCTTCTTTTTCTTTTTGCTAAAAAAATCTCCTAGATAACTATAGAAAGGTCCGACTTCCTCCAGCACCGCGTATTAGAAATCTGCATCTTTCCTTTTCTAATTTCCTAATATTTGGCAGTTGGAATAGGTAAGTTGGCGTAATTCATGGGATTTATTCTGGTATTCTTTATGTTTTACGTATTGCGCCTCTTTTTATTAAATGTCAAATTACCTTTCTAGGATTTGTCATTAAGCGCTGCATTGTAGTGGGCTAAATGGTTGTCATTCTCTGTTTTTCAACCCACACGCTACTACGGTGGACGCTACATGCGGAACTCTTGATTTTGCAAATCTGGATGGATGGAATTAGTTTGCATTTTGCACCGGAAGAGTAGTTTGTACTTGATCTCCTACCTACCTACCTACCTATATATATATATATATATATATATATATATATATATAGATATATATAGATATATATATATATATATATATATATGGGAGCAAGAGAATACGTGCATATATGAGTGCGTCATTTGATGACAGAAAGGTATATATTAACGAACACTAATGATTTTTCTTTTAATTTTGTACTTTTTTCTCTCTTTTTCGTTCTTGTACTTTTTTTTTCCCTTTCACGCATTGTACTCTTTATTTATATCAATAAAATCTTCTTTTTCCAAAAAAAAATTGAACACTTAATAGCAATCAACAAGTATATAGGAAATAATTTATTCCCTTAACATATTTAAGCATGCAACAAATCATAGCAACAAAATATTCATTTAATAAGGTGGTACGGACAACTTCAAATATGAGTCATGCAATCATGTACTGGCAAGCCAAGATTCTTTCCTAAAAATATTTATTTAATATTTTAACTAAGAATGACCTTTCAAAATCGTATGGCAAGGGAATATGTACTTAACAAATTTAAGTAAGCTACGGTCAACTTCTATTAAGGTATTCATTTAGCACAAGCAAAGATTTTTTCCATAAAATATTAAGCTAAATATGTCAACTAATTTAAGTGGATGTCCAATCATGCATGGAAAGATATTTAAATTGTGCCACGTACATTTAGAGCATGCATGATATTATAACAATCTAGATACGTAGATAAGACATTATCATGCAATCACATATCAATTCATCTACTCATTATGCACGACAATAATTCACATAGAACAAAACTAAATATAGTTCTGATAGTAGTTCGATCCGCTGGTCCACCTGCATGGATGGTCAGTAATCAAGCACAATTGCCCAATTGGACTTTAGGATAGTTCTATTCTTTGTTCCTACATGGTTAGTCATCAACAAAACCTTATATTCAATAGTTATGAAGTGTTTTCTACGTTAAGCTATTTTATTCAGTTTGATAGAGAGGCTATAGGGCATATTATACCAAAAAAAAGTATTCGATCGAAAGATCCTTTATCTCCGTATTTATTCATTCTAATTGCGAAAATGTTGAGTGCCCTTTTTCGAGGAGCGAAGATTAGGGGAGATATTCATCCGATAGCTATTTGTCGAGGAGCACCAAAGGTTTTGCTGATGATAGTCTTTTATTTTTTAAAGCCTCTAGGGCTTGTATAAATA